CTCTCTCTCTCTCTCTCTCTCTCTCTCTCTCTCTCTCTCTCTCTCTCTGCTTCTTGCCTCCATGTCACCAGCAGCCCTTCTCTGCCAAGCCTCTCTGCAACGTCTCTTTGCCTTTGAGCCAGGGAACCGTGGATTGAATCCTCCACAAACCGTGAACCAAAACAAACTTCTTCTCCTTTACAGTGTGGGTGTTGTGTATCCATTTGGATTGATTTTAGTACAGGATAATATGTAGGGGGCCAGATTCATTGTTCGGCAAGTGAGTGACCTGCTTTCTCAGCACCAATTTCCTTCTGCAGTTGTTTTTAGCCCTTTTGTCACAGATCAGATGGATAATGGTGCACAGGGCTGTTAATATGTCTTCTAGTCTGTTCCACTGGTCTAAATGTCGATTTTTGTGATCATATTCTGATGTATTTATTAGCACAGCTTTGTAAACTCACTCAAATTCTTGAAGTTTCTTGCCCTCTGCTTCACATATGGTTGATTGACTATTCTAAGGTTCTTCTTGCTCCATATAAATTGAGAATTTTTCTACTTCCATAAGTCATAATGTTGACATTTAGATTGGAATTACATTAAGTAAGTATATAATTTTTGATAAATGGCCCATTTGACAATGTTGATTCTACATATTAGGAACATGGGATGTCTTCACACTTTTTAAGGTCCTTTTCCACATCTTTCTTCAGCGTGCTAGAGTTTTTATTATAAAGGTCTTTCACATTGTTAGATTTATTTTTAGGTCTTTCATTTTCTTGAAGCTACAGTGAGTGGGACTGAGTTGCTGAAATCAGTTGCTGAATTCTTTCTGGTAGGTTTTTTATTGTTTTATGGGAATGCTATTTATTTTTTGCATGTGTTGATTTTGTAGCCTGCTACTTTGCTGAATTAGTTTATTAGCTATAAGAGTCTTCTATAGTCTGAATTTTCATGTAAAAGACCCTCTTATTTCCAATTAAGTACAGTTTGATGTCTTCCTTTCTTATTCATATTACTTTTTTTTCTCTTTCCGGCTGAGTGCTCTATTGAACAAGTGAAATGAAAATAAAGACCTTTGGTTTGTTCTCGATTTCCGAATAAATGTATTTAGATTTTCCCCAAGTAGTATGATGTTGACTATGAATTTGTCATAAATGCCTTTTATTGGGTTGATGTAATGTTTTTCAGTACCTATTTTTGTTATGGATTTCTTTTTAGTATTATAAGCATATGTAGGATTTTCCTAAAGATTTTTTTCTCTACAGCTATTTATATGATCATGTAATTACTACTCCTAATTCTACTTAATAGGATACTACATTTATTGATTTATGCATGTTGTCCCATGATTGCATCCCTAGGGTGAAAATGAATTGGTCAGAATATATGTTTTTTTACTGATTTATTCAATTTGGTTCACAATAAGTGCTGATACTGAGAGGTATTTGTCAGTTCCCACACCACCATATCATTTCTTCAATTTTGATTCCTTTATATTTTCTTTGTGTTTAACTACTCATTAGATGTAGTCCCTCATTTGGGCTCTTTACTGTCTCTCTTTAGATTTGAGTATTTAGAATTCTCTTGAGTTAGGGATCATGAATTTCGGTAGATTCTGTTGGTCATAAGAGGGATTAGCAGTTGTTTCTGTCCATGATTTCAAATACTATTTTTTTTTGGTGAACCGGGGATTGAACTCAGGCCCGTGCGCTTGCCAGGCAAGTGCTTATTCCACTGAGCTATGTCTCTGGCCCCTTCACTCAATGCCCTTCTGGCCTTTAAGCATGATGTGTCCTGTTTTTTTTTTTTTTTTTGGAAAGTATCACTTGGAGTTACATATGTTTCTGGTAAACCTCAGTGAGCATTGTATTTCCTAGATATTCAGAAATGATTCCTAAATGATTTTGAGGAATAAAATTTATTTTTAGATGTATTTTAGTATAGGAACTACAGGATTGGACTTGCCATTCTCCTGTTTTCAGCCTCTCAAGTGCTGGGATTACAGGCATGTACCAACATACCCAGTCTCATTTGCAGTCTAATCATGCCCTTGGGGGCAGGGCCCACAGCACACTGGGGATCAAACCCCGGCCACTGTGCTCTGCCTAAGCAGGCATTTTAGTCTGCTGGGCTATCTGGCCAGTTCTTAGAACAAATTTTTTATAATTTTAGTTTCTGTCCTATTTATTTTCCTTGTTGCTGGGACAGAATACTTAACACCTACAACTTTAAACAAGAGTGGGGAGGGGGTCACTTCACTTCACAGTTTAGTAGCTTTAGTCCTTGCAATTGTGAAAACAAGACTAAAGGATGTAAGCCCCCATTCAGCCAGGAAGCAGAGAGGATGAAGGGAGGAGCCGGGAGGGAGATGCATCCTTCCAGAATTGGCCCACAGCACCGCCTTTTCTGACCAGAACACACCTCCTGACAACACTCAGCTCTTGCATTCTCCTAGTCAGATACCTTCCAAGCACATCAGGCTTTGGGAGTTCATTTTAGATCCAGCAGATAACCTTTCTCCTCTGGGTCACAAAAGAATCATGCAAATCTCTTCAGGCAAAATCCATTTAGTCCTCTCTCTAGGAGCTGCCAAATTTGAACAGTTTAACATGGCTTAGCATTCCAAGTCTGAAGCCTTCTCTGAGATTGTTAGAAAGAACGTGCTGTCAGTATTGTGGAATCTCCTTAGCTAATGGATATCTCTTTGCCATTTAACCTTGGGCTTGGGTATGCTTTAGTGTTGATACACCTAGTCCATGTACTCAATGTCGTAAGATCAGTTCTAGCTTCTGTGTGCACAGACATAATATCTGCTGGTTATATCAGCATCTACAGAACCAAATATGTGTCAACATATAATTGAACACTTGTTTTAATATTTGCACTTTTTTTCAATAACTAAAGATTAGTATTGATGACAAATAAGTTGGGATGTGGAAAAGAGGAAAGAAAAAGGAAAGCAGTAAAGGCAGAAAATGTTCAGAAAGAAGTAAAAAGACAATAGAAACCATAAAAAAATGACTTTTATGTCCTGAGCAAAAGAAAGAATAGTTGTGAGCTTATTTTTAGGGTAGGAAGAAGAAAGAAAGAAGGAGCAAGTATAATTAGATATTGAAGAAGTTTAAGAAGGTTGGAAACACTTCATATGCTGTTAGAAAATTTATGTTTTAATCTATAAACACAATCCTTGATTATAGAGTTGACATGACAATCTGACATGTCAATGTATGATTATATATATATATATATATATATATATATATATATATATAATACATATATATATATGATAAGGCAGTGATTCACTTTCATTCACTATTATATATACATATATCTCACATATATTCTTTTATATGCATTTGGTACAGGGTCTATAGAGTCTCACTAGATAGATTGGCCTTAGTCATCTTCTGTTTTCAGCCTCCCAAGTGCTAGAATTACAGGCATGTGCCACCATTCAGTCTCAGTCTAAGCAGGTGCTTTAATCCGCTGAGCTATCTGGCCAGCCCCCTTCACATATATATTCTTAACAAGCATGGAAAAAATAATAAATAAAAAATAGGTTTAACTTACATGCATTTGTGTTAATTAAAAGCAAGAGACAAGAAGTATGTGATAGATTGTCATAAGGGAAGCAAAAGGAGTCAGAGAGGGAGGAGGAAAGACTGGCAAGGGACAGTCTGGGGTTGGACATCTACATTATTGCAGCTTTACCAGTCACCTTGTCTTCCCTTAAACACTACACTCAGATTTCTATGTGTACATTGCTTTAATTTCATTTACCTGGAAAATGAAATGAGATCATCTTGGTTGTAGGAAGATGTGCTCATAATTCTGTGGATGAAGTGATGTGTTGGTTCAGTAGCAAGACTCCTCCCTTTATTCTGCAAATTTGCAAATCAGGTATTACACAAAGGTAGAATTTCATACGTGCTTTGTCTTTTTTAGTACAGGGTCTACCGAGTCTCACTATGTAGATTGGACTTGTAGTGATCAGCCTGTGTTCAGCCTCCGAAGAGGTGGGAATATAGTATGCCCAGGCTCAATCACCATCTCTGGGCACCCCAGGAGCGGGGCCAGCATGGCATACTGGGGATCATTGCCAGCTGCTGCAGCTATTTGGCCAGCCCTGCTTTGTCATCTTGCATTTGTCTTACTTGGTTTACATTTTCTTTTCGTCTCTTAACTTCTCACTTATCTAGGTTTCTTTGCATTATCTGCCTTCCCTTAGTTAAGTTTCATTACCGTATCTTATTTTATACACTTTGTAAATATTTACAGGCTTAGGAGGACAAATCATCTATTTTCTTATCTTCATTCTGCCTAATGAAATTATATTATTGGCTAGAGTGGGTGAACTACTCTCATCTTTCTTATCAGCGACAGTCCCTTACCTTATGGCCTGACCTTTTCTTCCTGGAAGGCTGCGTTTCAGTCACTCTTTTGGAAGTGGCCATGCTGAGCTCACTAGCTGCTTGATTACCTTGTATCTTGTGAGATTCTGTTTGGTTTGAGGTTGCTTCTGAATAGTCAGTATTCGAAGCCGATGTGGATTGAACACTTTTGGTTAGTGACAGAAAGTTTTCCATGCTACCTGTGGTGGCGGGTGGCTTGAAAGGAGCAATCTTGCTTTGTATTAGCTTCATAACTTCTTTCACTTCATCTTCAGATAGTTCTCCTATGGATTTTTGTCCAAAACACTCTCCCAAAACCACCTCATTTTTATCATACGACAAAGCATCATCTGTAAAATAGTCTGTCTCCTCCTGATTAATATCATGAGCCACCAATCGAACGATGAGGTCTTTCTTGTTTCGGACATCTTTTAAAAGCTCTACCTTGGAGATGTCAGGCTTTCTTATATTTTGAAATGAATTTCTGCAAACAGCCTGAAATTGAAGGTGCAACAAATGTTAAAAGGAAACATCTCAATCGCTTTTTCTGTATTACTATTATGAAGTAGCTATTTTCCTATGACTTGTTTCAATTTAATATCTTCAAAGGCCACTGACTGGTATATCAGTAATATTTTTTAAAGACACCAAACCACAGTTTTCTAATGTTTGGCATTTCTTTGACATTCAGTTCATATTTCAACAAACAACTCTCATACAGGTTCTGTTTTGCTTAAGCTAAAATAACTGTATTAGTTATGGTTTTGTCATTTCTCCTTATGGTAGCAGATAACTAGCACCTTTGTTTGTTTGTTTTTGTCTGAAACATTATAAGAAAACTTTCCTGCGACAATCTCCAGGCTGTAGACTGTACCCCTTAGCACACCTGCACCTCTAAGAAAAGGCCTGCCACAAATACAAGATGCCTTTATAAAAATCAACACAAGTGATGAATTATTGTAACTTCCTACATTGGACAGATTATTTTGTTTCCTTCACTACTGGTTTTCTTATAAAAAGAAAACATTTTTTTGATATTTTTGAAGTTTCAGTTAACTTAATTTATTCTTGGCCTTAGTATGGGTCTGTAGAGCACAGCTATGTCTAACCCAAACAGAAACAGTTTCATAAAAATAGAAACAGGAAGCAGTTTATAGAAAAAAGGCAGAAGAGGAAAGGAACTGGGCAAACCTGAGAGCATAGAGTAAATGAGAAATCAGTATAGTTAAATTGACATCACAAGAACCAATGTAATTTCAGAATTTCCAGTCTAATCCCTGTTGAAAATGCTATTAAAAGAAAAGGAACACTACTGTGGAGATCTCAGTGTGAGAATTAAAATGATTTTAGATAGTTTCATGGACTTTAATCTTCTATTAGGTGCCCTACTTTGAATGGTTTTAGATAGCCATGATGAAGAACTAATGGAATTATACAAAATTGCTTCTTTTGAGCCATGAAGTAACAACTACAACTTCAGTCTGGTATTTGTTAAAGACATGTACTTACATTCCTGTTCTTAAAATAAAGCTAGATTAAGTGGATTATCTCTGGAAAAGGAGCCCAAAACCTGGACAGCAAGTCACACAACTGAGGATCCCAGTCCTTGGGAGTCGTGCTGTGACTTCAGACATGGACTCATGTGACCAGTTTTCTATTGGCTTGGCAACAACTGCAAACATGCACACCCATACAACTGTTTAAAGGAGGAGACTGTACAACAACCAGGCCTCAGTGTCATTCATTTTTTCCCCATTAACTTTGCACTTACCTCAAAGGGCTTTATATCCAGTCGACCTGTGTTATTCAAAGAGGTACGTCTTTCTTTCTTTCTCTCTTCTAAATCATTTGGGCTTCCAGATGTGTAACCTCTCCCATCCACAGATGCTCGCCTCAATTCTTCTATGCTATGTCCAGTTCTTCTTAAACATTCTGTTTTCATTTTGTCAAGTGGCTCCGTCTTTACAGAGATGACTGCTAAGTGCTGGGAAATAATATGTGGATCTACTCTGATGGCTTTCTTCCCCACATGTGGGATTATTTCCACTGAGTACTCTTCTCCAGATCTACCTCCTTCAGACTCATTTTTGTCCTGCATCATTTTCTCAGCATGCCTTTCTGTCTTTTCAATGATTCTATCAATATTCAGATCTTCAAAGACACTAGTATATGAACTCTTTGGCGTAGCCCTATCTAATGGAACTCTTGAAACTCCATCGATAATTAGACTGGCTACCTTAGAGAAGACTGTGTTGGTATCTTTTATGTCATAAAGTTCTTCAGAACTTTCAGACTGTTGCAGCATATTGCCATAAACAGAATCAACAACCTGACAGATCATGTCCATTTCTTCTAGATCTGAAGAGTATTCTTCAGGTTCAGCAGCTACTAGACTAATATTACTTCTAGAAACTTCAGCTGTTACAGACTTTGTCAGTTGTGATGCAATTTTATTTAAGTCAGATTTTTCTAAGTCATGTGTACCTTGGTGTGAGGTACAAGGTGATCTTATTAGTTTAGCCAAGAACAAGGCCAATACTTCCTCTAAAACATTGGCATCTACCATAGAACATTTTTTGGAAGAAAAGCTTTCCTGGGACTTAAATTTATCAACAATTTTGACCACTTTTTCCATAATTTTGACAGCTTCTAGAACTAGTTCTGAACTCGATATTTCTTCTTCTACCTGAGGTTGAAATTCAGAATTGGAAATTTCCTTCACCATTAGAAAGCCTATTATGTCAGAAAGGACATTGCTCTGGCTCATTAAATCTTTAAATACACAAGTATGGGAACCAGAGTGTTTTAGAACACTGGCATACACAGAATTCACTACATTTTCAATAGTTGCACTGTCATCTAAAGATAGAATAGGTGGTTCCTTGGAAGATCTTGTAAGCTTGATCTTACTTCTGGAAATAAATTCTTGGAATGAATTTAGTATTTTTGAGCTTATTTTGTGCATTTCTGTTTCTGGAGATTTATTCTTCTTACGTACTTTTGGAAAAACAGATAAGAGCTTTGACAGAAATTTTACAGCAATTTCTTCTATTACGCTGGAGGACACTTTACGAACAGGTGATGGTTGAGGTGGAGTAGTATGGATGACACTAAAAAGGATATTTTCAACAACGCTGTCAACCTCAGCACATTGATGTGGAGTTAACTCTCCACAAAAGTAGTTCTGCAACTGATTCCCGGCCACTTCTCTTAGAACTAGGTCCACTATGGTTTCTGAAAGAAATCTGCATCCATTAGACACACAATTTTGTATGATTTCTTGTGATCCAAACTGTGGCAAAAGATTATTATATATAGACTGAACCACCAAGTCAATAATTTCATCATCATTGGGATGCAAGGATTCTACGTACTGTATGATCATGTCTTCATTTTTGGAAATCTCTGCTGCAATTTTACTTACTAACTCCATGTGAAGGAAATCCAGTTCTGTGGAGAACTGGTTTTCAGATGCCTCTGCTTTGGTGATGGTGTCAGATATTTTTGAGAAAATTTTTGATAAAAGGGTAGAAATAACATCCTCTAAAAATTGATGAGGCAACATGACAGTATATGGTGCTGTTGTCTGACATTCTTTACTGGATGTTTGGGTCACCTTTTGGACATTTTTCGCAAGACCTTTAGAATCCAGAGGCAAACACGGTGAAACTGGAGACTTATCACAAAATACCAAGTTAAGCTGATGTTGAAAAAGTTCATTTATCACTGCATTAGTTAACCTTTTTACTAAATTATCCCCATTACTGTTAATGTCTTGACAAAGAGATTCTTGAGTTTCATATTCTTTCAAAATACTGCAAATAGAAGAATGAGCAACTTTATTGACCAAGGTTTTGTCAATTGATGGTATTTCCTCTAGGAGAGGTATGTCAGGTAAAGAGAGTTTTTCAGTCCCTTTATTTATGTCTGGCATTTTATCCACGTCTTTTATCTTAATGACTGATGATGCTTTGTCTGTAGTTGACTCTTTATTCCTGGAAGGTGCCCTAGGAACTGAAGGCACACTTTCATGTGGAGAAAATGGATATTCTTCATCAGGGCTAACTGTCTTAACTTGAATGTCTGAAAACTCCTTTATCAATAAATGGAGAAGTTTCATGCCTGTGTCATAGAGTTCTGTTTGATCCTGCTCATTATTTACATTTAGATATTTTTCACATGTTTCCATTTCTGCTGAGGAAGGAAACAGCAGTTTGTTAACTATTTCAATAATAACATCTCCTAAAAAATTAGAGGGGAAAAAGCGAGGTTTACTTTCTGGTAGGTACAGAGGATGATCTGTTTCAGTAGCTTTACTTTTAACCTCCTTTTCTCCTACTTTCTCTTTTTCAGTACTTTTCTCATTTTCTTTTTCTTGCTTGCTTTTGCTCTCTTTCTCTTTTTGTCTCTCTCTCTCTTGCTTTTCTGTCTCTTTGGCACAGACTTTTTTGTTAACAGAGGGAGATAAACTCTTGGTTTTAAGAAACTGGGTAGACTCCTTGCCAGGCTCCTGAATTACATTCAGTGCTTTATAACCAGGGAAGCTTTTGCTATATTTGTACTTTGAAAACTCGGGTGGTTCTTGAAGAGAAGACCTTTCTAAAATATTCCCATGAATATTTTCAATGATGTTCTGAACAGTTTCATAATCTGAGTAGCTTTGCTCATCTATATCTATTTCAGCAGCTGAGTCTGACTTTTTGGTTATTTTCAAAGTTTTCTCTGTTGTAGCCTCAATACTTTTTACTGTGGGCTTCCAAGAAGAAAACTGAGAGTTCTGACTATTTTCTTTTCCTGAACTTGCCTTAGTACTGCCCCTATTCTTTTCATTGTCTATTAGAGAATCTGACATATCCTTATATTCTTTGTTAGGAACACCCGAAAAACACGTTTGTATTGAGTCTTCATTTTTTGGAATTGATATTTTTGTTTTTTCAACAGCATTATTTTTAACTGTTTTTTTCAAATCTTGTTCCTTCTTTTTGTTCCCAGTAGCTGGAGAAGTAGCTTTTGATACACTTACATTATTTTTTGGAGTAAAAATTCCAAATGTGTTTTTATCCTCTTTCCTTTTGTGTGCTGTACCCGCAGATGGCCCTGCCATTAGGTTAATCACATTCCTTTCCATAATGGTCATAGTAGAGGCAAGCGCTGGATTTTGGATGTCTTTTTTCACTGGTAGGTCTTTAGCATGGAAATTCTTTCTACTCATTTCACCTCTATTTTGATCCAAACTGATGATCACCTTTTTCTGATCTGAGCTTAGGGAAGTTTGTTTATGTGACTGTTCTGATAAAGTAAGTTGTTTCTCTTCTGAGTATCTAGTTACCTGAACAGATGTGTTCTGTGGTAAGTGTTGAACCCTTTGGGTGATGGTATCTGGATTTAAAAATGAAAAAAAGGTGGAAGACCAGTCTCCTGAGAATAGTGGTTGAATCTTGAATGCAGAGATTGCCTTCTGTGCTAAAGAAGCAATCATTTCTACAACAATGTTACTTTTCCCTCCCTTCTGAATATCATTAGATCCAAATTTCCCTATGAACTGATCATACACAAAACCAGTTATATCAGAAATTACTTCTTTATCAATTGGTGGGAAAGAAAACTTTTCTTCAGTCTGTGGTAAAACCTTAATTTCATTTTTTCTAAATTCTCCTAGGAGAGCATTTACAAATTTGAGAGCTAAACCCATAATATCTGGTTCTTGTGATGATTTTCTCTTAGAATCTTTAATAGCTGGGAAAGAAAAAAATTTGCGAACAAGGCCAACTACTACATCTTCCAAAAATGGAGCTGGAAACAGAGAAACCTGTCTTGTCTCTTTCCCAGATTTAGTAACCACGGAGGCATGGTCACAATCAGATAAGGAACTAGATTCTTCACCTTGTAGAAATGGCTGTAAATGATGATCCATAATTTCCTTCATAATGAAGCCAGCCATTTTACTGAGAAATGATCCTCCCTTTTTGCCTGCATCCTTCTGTACTTCAGTTTGGAATTCAGGTTTTTTCAAAATATTATTACATATGGAGTCAACTAAATTCTCAAGGACCTCTAACGGTGTACTCTCTGCATTCTCCACTGCAGTGGAAAGTCGGATCTCATGTTCAAAAATTTCTTTTATAATTTCATCAGTCATTTCTGAAGCTGCAGCTGCAAAATCATCATCTGGCTTTAGCTCTTCTTCTGTTAGTTTGCTTTCAGTGTCAGTTGGAGGAAAGATATGCCCCAGGAGCTTGTAGATCATATCTTCCAGAAGAGACCGAGGAAACACAGTAACACATGATGGCAAGGCACTGCTATCACTCAAGATGGCCCTGAGCACATTTCTGATGATGTTATCAGCTCGAAGGGAAGAACAGGAAGAGGATACTAATTCTCCTGAAATTAATGACTGCACCTGATAATCATAAATTTCTTCCAATAGTAAATGATATATTTTCCTTCCAAAACAGGCAGTGTCACTTTGTATAGCCCTATACACTTGAACTAAAGATCTATATTCGTTTAATAATTTCTCATAGATTACGTTGACGGTTTCATGAATCATTTCTTTATATTCTTCTGAAAAACACAAATTTTTATCTAAGCTATCTGCAAGCAAAATCTCTGATGTGGTGAATTCTAGAACAATTGATTTGACTAATGTTGTGACAATGTCAGCTGTCTGGGCTTTTGCTATGTCTGGGTTTTCAAAAGCCAACACATTGTGTGTGAATGCATAAAGAATTTTGCACAAAAGCTCAGAAATGACTTCCTCCAAGAAGACAGCTGAATTCACAATGCAAGCCCATCTCATTTGCTTAGGATCTATTGCTTTTTCTTTGAAAACCTGGTCAACTGAAGTTGAAAGAGGAGTTTTATCTCCAGATAAAAATGACTGTAGGTGATGGTTAAAGATTTCCTTTATTATAAAACTTGCTATTTTTGGAACAGGTATGTTAGTTATGCCTTTCTTATCTTTTGTGAGAGACTTGTATATATCTGAATGAGAAAGATCAGCATAGATAGAATCAATCATGGACTGTATATCTTTTTCTGGAATCATATTTTGTTTTCCACTTCCATGTTTAGTGATACATATTGCATTTTTTGAAATTATTGACATGATCTCATTTATCAATTTTATGACTGTATCACTTAAGTCTGACGGAGAAGCATCTGGATGTTCTATAGTGGATGTCAATGGATTAATCTGAGATACAAGCTGAGTGACTATTCTTTCCAAATGATTTTGTGATAGCAGAGTGGTATACATGGTTGAAGCCTGTCTTCGGAATCTTGACTTACTAATATCATATTGAACTTTGTGTATCAAAACGTTTTCACTGAGTTTGGATTGAGACTTAAAAGGCAGTTTTGCTACAAGATCTGGATGAATTTGAAAATCAAAAATTTCAGTCAGGATGATTGTTGTTATCCGAGCAGCCAATGTCCTTGGGTCATTCAGAAAATCTTTGTGAGGCTTGATTTCCATTTCATATTCCTCTAAAAATCTACTATACACTGTATCAATAAGATTTTTTACCACATCGCTCTCCACTGGAGGCAAACACAACTGTTTCTCAGCATTTTCTATAATGGTAACTTGAGCTTTTGAGAATTCCTCAGTTATAGAATATATAAGTTCTTCAGCTTTTTCAAAAAGTCCATCTTCTGAATCTCTTGTGGCTTTCATTTGTACAATACCAATTGCCCTGTGGAATATTTTTCTTAAAACCCCAGAAACCACATCCTCCAAGAAAGTTGAGGAGTAAACACTGGCATAAAATGACTGCTGTCTCTTGTCACCAAAGTGTGTGTAGGATAAGGAAGATGAATTTGCATCCAAAAATGGCTGAAAATGTTGTTCACAGACATGTTTAATGATGAAGCCTGCTATTCTATCAATAAGAACATTATTGATGCTTGTTATATTTTGCTCCACTGATTCTTGAGACTCGGAGTTTTGTAAAATATTATTGAATACTGAATCAACAAGATGCTGAACATCATCTTCTGAATAAACAGACTTGTTGTTTTCATCATCTTTTGAGAACTGAATTTCATGTTGGGAAATTTTCATCCTAATATCACTGATTAGATTGGAAGCAACTTCATTAAAATTCATTTTTGATTTATCTTTCAGAGTTTCTCTGTAGGGAACCACACTAGAGGCAGCAGGAAAGAATCTCAATAATAATACTCTGACCATATCTTCTAAGAATGCATATGGCAGAAAGGTGGTATATGGAGGGAAAATCTGATTTGACCTGGTAGATTGAGTTATGTTACTAAGGACATCTTGAACAATATTTTCAGCCACCAATGTGGAATAAGATGAAGTCGACAGATCACCAGAAAACAGTGGATGGAGAAGGTAGTTTGAAATAGCTGCTACAATAAAATTTGTAATATTTTCCACAAAGACATCACTATTTTCACTCTCTTTATTAATGTCAGGATCTAGTCCATACTGGTTTAGCACATTCCTATAAACAGAGCTAACAAGTTCATCTATTATATCTGTATCCATAGAAGGCAAAGACTTCTTGTCATCGTACAAAAAGGGAATTTCACCTTTGTCAAAATACTGGTTTACAGAGTTTACTATTTTCCGTGTCATACTTTCCAGCTCAAATTCAGTGTTAGGCCTCGGGCTAAAAATCTTTGATAAGAGCTTGGCAACCATCTCCCCTATGAAGATATCAGGGGAAACACTTCCCAATGGTGACTTCTTGGGTCTGTGTGATTCGAGGGCTTCATCAAGAACCTGTTTAACCATATTAGATACTGAATCCAGTGGAGTCCCTGGACGAGGTAAAGCCTGTCCATACAAAAATGGCTGAAGATGACATTCAATAATCTCTTGGATAATAAAACTGGTTATCCGATCAATCATCACTGGGTTTCGGCTAACTATACCTTTCTGTATTGAAACAAGACAGTCAGACATTTCTAAAATGTTGCCATAAATAGAGTCCACCATTTTTTCGAGATTCTTTTCTGAAGAGAGGTACTGATTTTCATAGCTAGTAAACCAGATTTTGTGTTTTGAAATGGCTGACACAACCTTATTTATTATACAGGTGGACATTTCATTAAAATCTGAGCTTATTCCATATGTTTTTTCCATGGAGGAAGATTTAGCAAATTTAGGAATGAACTGAAGTAAAAGTCTTCTGACAACATCTTCTAAAAATGAGCGTGGTAACATGGTGCTATAGCTTTTTGAAGACCTGGTTTGGAAAGTGAGGTTTCTTAGGTTGCTCTGAAGCTTCTGCAGTATAACTTCAGCTTCAAGAGGACAGCATGAATGGGTTCTGAGGTTTACCTTTAGGGAAGATGGGAGTTGGTAATCTAAAATCTCTAACAGTATACCTTTTGCTATTTGCTGAGCTAGCAACCCATTTGCACATGCAAGATTATTACCGTAGGTCATTTTCAATTCATATTCGTGTAAAATATCATAATAAACAGAGTCAACAATCTTCCTGACCATTTCTTTATGAATTGGTGGAAAATACAGCCTCTCTTCAGCATTCCTCAAAACAGTGACTTGAGCGTTATTAAACTCATTTACCACATGGTTGACAAATAGTGTGTTCATCTCATGGAGCTGGACTTCAGTGATGTTTGCATTTTTTTCCCACAAGGATGTAGAGAAATGAAAAAACAATTCTGAAATTATTTCCTCCAAAAAGGTGGCTGAATAAACACCAGTGTTCATATCTCTTTGATATATGTTACGAATGACTACTGCATCCATTTCCTTTGTTGTCTGTCTATTAAGAGGTAGCCATGAAGAAGATTTTATTGCACACTGCCTGCCAAATGGTGCTTGCATTTCAGAGCTAGCCACATGTGGATTATTTAGAGGTCCTGTCAAAGAAGTGTCATCATAACTCATGAATCCTAAAGAACCTTTACCTTGTCCTAACTCCATGAATTCTGGCCTCTTTTCCTTTGTAAAATTGGACTGTGTTTCTCTTCCTTTATGGCTCAAATATTTGTTTTCAAACAATGGACTTTCAGGAGCTTCTTGTAAACTCAGAGACAATTTATCCATCAGCGATTTAACCAAGCTGTGAGAAATAATAGTGAGTACATAATCTGATGACAATAAATCTTGATCTATTCCTGCTAGATTTTCCAAAGACTCTGACATGCAATCTTTTTGGAGTTCTTTGCCATCTGGTGACCTTGTACAACAATCAAGATCTCCATTTTCTATCTTTTGAAGTAGTTTTAAGAGTTGGAGGACCTCTGCTGATATTTCGTTAGCAAGAAGACCATCATCAGAAAAGGCAGTGGCTGTGTACTTTTCCAGAAGTGTCCTAATGAGTTTTTCACATACCACATTGAGAAGAAAACTAGACTTGGGGGATAGCACTTGGTTATTTCTAAGGATCATATCACTTTGTTGAATGTTTGGGGAGGAGAAACATCTTCTTGCTAATTTACTGGAGTCTACAGCTCTATTTGGGAATTCATCTGGCAAAAATAAATCTAAAACAATATTAAATATTTTATTTACCATATTTTTTGATTCATCAGTGCTTAGCTTGTCTAGCTGAGATGTCAGATAATTTAACTTGTTTTTCCAAACAAGTCGATCAATGGGATGAGTTGCTTTCCAAACTCTAGGGCATGTTAGTTCTGTGGCATTGACTTCACTGCAAATAGACACGTTATTTCTTCCATGCATGGAGCGAGATTTGTGTCTCCCACTGTTTTTGAAGTGATGATTTATTCCTATTTCCTCAGACAGTACTTGAATCACCCCTGTTAAGACATCTTGAAAAAAATCATCAAAATTGGCCGAAGTTATTCCTGGACAGCAAATGTATTTTGTTTTTGTGTAAACCATTTGCTGTCTGCTGTCAGCTTCTATAATGTTACTACTGGCAAGAATTTCAGTAATTATTTCAGAAATACTTAAAGCAAGTTCTCCAATAGATATTGATCTGTTCTCAAATACTTGAGAATGAATCAAAATAATCTTGTTATATGCTACACCTTGGATTTCCCATAGTCTGTCCTTCTCTCTACCTTCTATGGTACCATCAGAAATGCATGAAATTAAATGGCAAATGACTGAGTCAGTGAGATGTTTACAGAATTGATTGATTGAAGAATTACTGTACATGCTCCGTAGAGACTGTCTTGATTCACAGATTTTATTTGACAGTGTAGAAAGAAGAGATACTTTCTCTGTAGTAAACAAAAATAAAAATAAATTATCATTTTTAGCATACAGCAAAGGAAATAATGGAAATTCCTTGTGTTGATTAATATTTACATATGTTGGTAATTTCTAAAACATGCATGCTACGTTGGGAGTAACTTACTGAAAGGAAATAAAAACCTAACAAAAAAATAAATTGTGTTTTCCTCAAGTATTTATTTCTCATGCTGTCAAATATTCCTTTCACCCAGCATGTTTAAAAAATAACCAAAACTCAAACCTCTAATCCATGCATCAGTGTTTGTCTTGCTTGGGCAGTTAGGGGATAAACTAGCAATTCTAGAGCACAAAAATATTTTACAGGTTTAGTGAAACTATCTTTAATTTTTCTAGCTATGCCAGGAAGTCTCTTGTAAATATTTTAAAATATTTTTAGGCAAAATATTTGAAGTTATGTGTTGTTCTACTTTTAGGATGCTAAGGAGTTTTGTAGCATTATCATCCTAACTAAAATAAAAGCTTGAAACTCCAAACATAGTAATAGATTACAAGGGCAGAAAAGAGTGTAAGAACTTTGACAACCCTGGAATCCATACCTCACACTCAAGCAAAATATCCTGCTTTAAAAGTGTCTCATTGGTTTTTCATCTACAGATATTAAAAAGCAAACAAAACATTTTAATTTAAGCAAATAATTCGTATTTTACTTTTTAGCACCCTGGAAGATCAGAAAACTGTTAAATAGTCACCTCACCTTCAAAGGCATTTTTATGAAAAAATTGAGAATGCATATTCTTTGTCAGGAAATCTTTTAACCATGTCTTTTAGTACTGTCCCTGAGTCACATCAACTCTTTAAATTTAGCTTTCAAATTTTTGTTGATTCATGTTTGCAGGACATAACACAACTATCATGGGAAGTTGGTACAAGTACACAGCAAGCATCTTAATAGTTACCTCTTACTTACCTCTAGTTTTGAAGTTCTTCAAATATGTGATAACAGATGTGGTTACATGCATTGCTACCAAATGAATTTCATTTGGACCCAGCTCATGATCAGCAAATGCAAGGACTTCAACTTCTTTGGGGGTCTCTGTTTTCTTTATCTTTGGAGTCTTGTTTTGCCATTTTTGCAATAAGGAAAAATCTCCCCCACAGGCTTCAGGGATTTCACATTCTTCAGTTCCATAGCCGATTCCCTTAGGCCACACTGTAAGCAAATTCTTTTCCATGTTTTTTGAACCTGTGCATATTTCTGATAATGAGTTTGGCTTTGATATAAAAAATGGTTTCATTGTTTCCATACCTGCATTAGTGGGGGGTTGTTCTGGAAAACCATAGTTTGTCAACAGAGTGTTGACGATGTTTTCTGCAGCTAAACATATTCTGAGTGGAGAGACAGTTGTCTGAATTTGGTTTGGCTCAACAACTGGCTTTTGAGTCCCATAGTGAAATACTCTTGGATTTTCACTTTTTCCCATTTCCATGAAAGACATAACTTGCTTTAAAGATGATTCTGTGGAGTCACTGGCTTTCTTAAACAGTTTCTGTAAGACACTACCTTCGGGGAGGGGGCCACTTCTCTTCATGGCTCTACCAAAATGCCTCAGGTTAGCTTTCACTTGGTGATGTTCCTGAGCTCTATTTCTAGAACATGCTGACACCATTTCTGAATCAAACCTTCTCAGTGATCCAGAACTTTTAATTGTGTCTTTCACAGAAGATGTGACACATGAGAGTAAATTGGATGAGAGTTTGTACTTTTCTCTTGTGTCTTCCAATGAATAAAATACCAAGCCAGATACACTTCTTTGGGCAAGAATAGGCTTCAAATGAGTACCTTCTACCTTTGGTGTGGGCATTTGCATAGCATTCTCAAATTCATCCTTATCAACTGGGAAAGCGTTTTTAGTTCCTTGGAGTGAGCTCTCCACTGAAAGGTTTCTGATCAAAGACTCACCAAAATGAGTGCATTGGTTCATCAGCGTGCCAATGATCTCACTGGCTACAATGTTCTCTCTCAATATATTGGTACAAGATGGTTCCGTTTGGTTTATTTCTTTGTCCAGTTTGTTCTTGATCATGGCAAGCATGTCACAGACAATATGAACAGCATATGTAAGCAACTCTGAATGAAATGCATGAACCTGCAGCAGAGTATTGTGTATGTTTTCTTTGGAAATATCAGAGCTTGGCTTGGATCCATCAGAAACGTTTTTCAGTGGTCTTAATTTGGGTGACATCTTTTTGCTTAATCTTCTCTGTTGAACTTGAAAAAGGTTGTCGATAGGCATTTTCACTATTTCAGAAAATTCGTATTTAGAGATATGCTTAAACTGTAAGTCCACAAATGACTCCAATAGATTTAAAACTCTTCCTATAATTTCCTGAGCAACTTGCTCATAAGAGGTGGTGGAAATTTGATCTTTTGACTTTATGTCACACATTGGTAAACTGCTGATTGTCTGCTCGGTTGGAAAACCATGCTTACTTTTATCAGCGCTCTGTTCTGTTCTACTTATTAGAGTTTCTTTTTTATGTAGTGAGGGCATCTGGGACAAAAAGCATAGCTGCAGTTTTTCAAACAGCATTTCCACAATTTCCCTTCCAAACATTTTAATCTGTGCTTTGATGTCTTCTGCTCTAGAACAATCTTCTTTAAACTGATTAGAGAAACTGCCTTCACAATGCTCAATGAGTGGCAGGTTTAACAGTGAAAGAGAATATTCGAAGTCTTTGGCTTTTATTGAAATTTCAGTCAAAACATTATCAGCTATTGTCAACAGAGTATATTTTTCATTTTCCATATCATTAGAATCTGTTTGCCACTTGTCAAACATTTTTTTAAATATACCTTCTTTAGGAAAAATCTGTTCTAGCTGTGAGGAAACATCCTCTAAGTAAAAGCACGCTTGTTCTTTAGCAGGAGAACTTAAACACCGTTGTGATAATTTGAGATCACACAGACATGAGGATTTGATTGGATAAGACAAACTGTGGTTGGCTGTAGCACATAATTCTTGCAAAACTATATTAACTATTTTACTGGCTTCTATGATTTGATCAGATGGCAAAACTTTTGTGTGTACCATTGCTCTCATTTGTGTCACCCTTTCAAATTCCTTCATTATTGATTTTAGAATATTACTTGTTATATCCTTGGCACATGCTTTTAGTTCTGAAGTGGGAAATTTTGTTTCTAGTAAGTTTTTGGCGTCTCCGGTGGCAAAGATGTGTGGCAGGCAGATGGTACTCTTCGACTGACCATCTCTTGGTGTCTTCTCTCCAGCACTTAACTTGGTCTTGCTTTTTGCCTTCACCACACTCGGTCCTGCATGTGGTTTGTTTCTAAATTTATGCAAAGATCTTGCTTTTAAACCTGTTTTAAACCCTGGTTTAGGGATGTCCTTAGGGCTATCTTTAGGGTTCTGTAATTTACAAAGTTGTAATTCATGTGAATATCCTGCACTGGACAAATTCTCTTGTAGGTGTAATGTGACAAAATTTGTAATCTTATGGAGCACAAGTTCAGTTAAATCTTTTCCTATTTGTAATGGTGAATATTGCAAAACAATGTTTCCTAACACAGAAACATTTTGACTATTTGCATTAAGACATACCTCTGGTATCCCACATCTAGGAGAATTACTTCTTTTTCCTGCTTGCTTAGTGTGTTTAAAGTATAGTGATTTCGTTGGTAAGGTATCATTCTTGTGGAGTGTTTCTCCTTCTTCCTTACCTTCATTCTTTTTGTATAACAGTGTCACAACGACAGAGTACATTTTATCATAAACGCATTCAATGATGTCATTTGCTTCACTGCTAACGTGTGATTGACAGTTCTTTTCTGTTGTATCTGAAGTTTTAATTTTAGAATTAGAATGGATGACTTCATTAAATGGGAGCAAATAGCTTATGACTTCCATTATTGTTTCATCTAACTTATCCATAAAATCTTCCACGCTTCTGAGCAATTCACTGTTTTCTTTTTGTTCTGATTTTCCTTTTCTCATAAATATTTCTTCCAAAACAGTTCTCTGGCTTTCCTTCTCAAATGTCATTTGGCTGAGTTCTAATGGACAGTTTGTAAGCAGAGACAACGAAGTGTTTTCTTCCTTTGCTTTGTGTCCCGGCAGTATTTCACTTGATAGAGTTAATTGTGAAGAGTTAGACTTCTCTGAGGAAAAACTAATTTCCTCCACAGATATTTTATTATGCATAATCTTTAAGATTCTGCCTATAATTTCACTCACAATTACATTTCTTTGGAATAAAATGTTGTTTGGGTATGGCTGCATCTTTTGGATTTCTAAGTCTAAGTCATTTTTAATAAGCTTCAAAATAGCATTGGCAATGGTATCAGCATATTCCTTCAGGCTAGCTTGTGATAAATGAATTGTGGCTCCAATTTTTTCTCTGTAACTGGCAAAAGTGGGTTCTGAGAGCTCTTGGCTGAGAATGGTTTTAATTGATGATCTTTTTGAGACATTCACATCAAGTTCCACTTGGTTTAATTCATGAAAAACACTGTCATCTTGCCTAGAATTTTCCAGTTCTGGACTAATAAATGATGTTCCTTTAGCCTGAAAAGCAAGAGCAATTAATGAATCTACTCTTTCTGTGGCAAAAGTTTGTAACCGATCGAAAATAGTTTCTGTGATGAAGTTAGCACTTTCCTCACACGGATCAGGAACAGATGGCTTGGTGCCCTCCTTCGCCTTTCCAACTGCCTGATTACCACTAGCATATGCTGGTTTCGTATTGCTTGAATACGGAAAATACCCTGGTTTTCCACTGCTTTTTGACTTCATTAGAAGAGATGCCTGGGACTCTGCTTTTGGAAACACATCACAAAGGGTTGATCTTGTGCAAGTAGGATCCTCTGTGACTGGGCCACTCATGGCAGCGCAAGTGAGGCTGTAAAGAACGATATTCACCACATCCTTGGTTAGCCAAAGGATGTCTGACTTCGGAATGGAAAGTTCAGGGGAAATCTTATTTGCAGCTTTAGAGAACAGTTCAGAATTTGGTTCTGAACATTTCAGAGTGGGTGTGGCAAATGAGAAATTATTTTTATGCAGGGTTTTTTCATAAATATCACACAAAATGCCTTCAATGGTGTTCTGTATTTGAAACTGAAGTACCTTTTGATACTCAGTCTTACTGAACAACTTTTCAATACTGTACTCTGACTGAGCAGAGTCATTCTCTTTCTCACCGTTAAGGTTTTTGCAGGATATAATATCTAGCATAGTGTTCACAATTTGACTTATGACACTTTCAGAAACCACAGTGTTATGCATCAACAGAGGACTTTCCCTTTCTTTATTTAACTCAAGTTTGATCCCCTGTAAAATTCTTCTAGCCACTTCTTTTGCATAGATATTCAACTTAGACAAAGAGATTTGACAAAATGAACTGGTTTTAGGGTCCACCAAGCCAAGGGAAATTTGCCCATCAGAACATGAATCTTCAGCAGCTAATTCTTTGTTCAGTGTCTGGTCTTCTTGCTGAGTAGATAAAACCTCTGGGACTGTGAAGTTGACTTGGGAATAAAAGAGAGATTTTATTTTGGACGTAGCAAAAATTTCCAATTTTTGAAATATTTCCTGTACAACATCTTCAATCATCTTTACTTTGGTCTGTCTGTCAACACTGAATCTGGGCTGACGGGTGCAAAGATTTCTGCCTGACATAGCAACAGATTTTCCTCTATAGGCGTGCTCACGAGAAGTGACGTTTGCTGAAAACATGTTTTTGCATTTGTTTTCACTTACATGTTCTTCGGTCATGGCAGCTGTGTAAAGTTTATGAAATACAATTCTAACAATATCACCTGCCACTATGATTACATCTGAGTCAGACACTAAAGAACTCATTTTTTCCCTGAGTAGCACAGGTCTTTGAGCAGCTGACCCAAGCACATTGTGAGGTGTGCCACTAAAACGGGGGCGGGACAGGAAAAGCACATTTAACTGATTGATTAAATTACCTGGAAAAATTTCATTCAAAATATTTCTTATAATGGGAATGATGGGGGATTTATGTGGTTCTTTGAGTTTCAGCTCAGCTTCCTGTAGGATCATTTCTAGGACCCTTTGTTTAGAAGAACAGAATTTAGTTTCCTGTCTCCGTGATGTTCTCTCTCTAGTGGAATTTTTCTCTGTATGTGTATCATCTTCTAGAAATGAATCTGATTCAGCCCCACCAGGAAGAAAATTCCCATAAGTTGGCTGATATCGGTAGGTTTTGGAGCCTTTGTCTTTTGATTCCTTCTCGTTTAATGTATCTGAGGATACTACGTCTAAAATTAAATTGACTATGTCCATAAACATTTGCGTCTCAGGTGACAGCTTTTTTATACTTTCCTTTAAATCATCTGAGTTCACCTTTAATTCTGCCTGAATGGCTTTCAAAATAGCGCTGGACACCTTCTTTGCCTGTGTATATAAAACAGACTCCAATGGTTCCCCACGTATATCTGAAAAAGAACCACTTCTATCCATCCTATTGTCTTCTTTAGCATCATCCTTAATAACACCTTGAGTTTCTAAATTTCCATTGGCAAACCCTTCTAGCTTACTAAAAACCATATTAAGAATATCTGTGGTAACAGTTGTCAGTGTGTTTTGGTGAGTTTCTTTTGAGCTCTCTGATTTTGAAGACATAGAAGAAACACTCATTGCTTTACTTTTAGTTATCTCTTTGTAATCCTTCTGTATCTTTCTGGAAATTAGACTGGATATTATGTTGGTGCATTTGGCCATTTCCTCAATCATTGAAGCAAAGGATAGCTTGTCAATATCAGGAGATTCTGAGAAAGTTTTAAGTTTAGGACCTACAAGACTGCTATCCATGTCAATTGTACATAATTTTTCAAGGATATATTCTAAAATAGTTTTGGAAATGACCTGAATATCAGACTTCTGTACAGCATCTATTTGCCGGTCTTTGTTTGTTTTTCCTCTATTTTGCTCTCTACAAGATGCCTGAGAATCCGGAGCAGTGCCAAGCACTGTGCACAGCATTTCATGTACTGTTTCCCCAATCCTATCTAATACCTGCAAATTAGCATCTTCTTTGAGGTTGTTTCTGTTCACAGCGCTGTGGATAGCACAAGGAGTAGCCAAAGATTTTCGAAATTCTTCTTTATCTTGTTTATTTTGCAAAATGTTTTGTCTTCCAGCATTGTCACTTCTGCATGACGTTGTAGACCTTGGCTTATCCAAAGGAAGTGAAGAATTATCTTCACTTCCACTTAACAGCATATCACAAATCCAAGACAACAATGGACTTTCTATATTGTCATCATTGAGATTAGCTACGAGAGATTCTAATTTCTTATCAGGATCAGCCAAAAACCCTTTATTTGTATGGGATTTGTTATGGTCTAGGTCCCTAAGGTTTATATTTTTCTTATTGAGTTCCAGTTCATTCTGGATAGCATCTAAAACAATGTTTACGACTTTAGTTGTGTAAGTACTAAGTTGTGATTTCAATGAAGATTGCTTGGCAGATGAAAGTTTGAATTCTGTTTGCAATTTTGGGCAAACAAGTAACTTTAGCCTTTTAAAAATTGTATTAGTTATCTTATCAATAATGTTATCTACACATTTAGGTTCACTTTCTCCAGATTTTAACCAAGAAGGCCTTCCAGAATCTACATCAAGTGAAGATAAATATTTCATTTTTCTTTCACTGTCAAACCATATTTTTAATGGCTTTTTATTTGGTGCTTCCTTGGATATATGAGGAATGTCAGAATTATCTAGAAAAGTTTGATGACTTAAGGATGAAGCAGAACTTTTAGTGGAATTGGACAAGGAGTCTGATGCCTTGAAAAGTATATTTAACACAGAATCTGTTATTTCTTGAGCTACCGCACTTATCTCTGACACAGAGAACACCTGGTCCATCCATTCCTGATGTGAGAGTCCTTGGGCGGCTTCTGAAAGAAGTGCAGAAGTTTCTTTGCCAATTTTTCTACCCACACGACCTGGAGAAGCAGGAGATATATCCTTGAGAATTTCTGTTAAAATACACTTAACTGTGTTTTCTGAAACCTTTTTTATTTGATGCTTTTGATCTTGGTTGAAAATTGAAATGTCTTTATTCAGGAAGTGTTTTTCCTTTAAAATGTCTTCATTGATAAGAGGTGGTAGCTCAGTCTTTAACTCCCAGTCACGGAAAGCAACTTTGCTGTGAGAAGCAGGCTTCAAGGGCGGTTTAATATTTTTTTTGTATTCAAAACAAGTGTTTGGCTTTGTGAACCAATGATTAGATGTTTGTTCTTGCGCTTTTACTTTTTCTTCTTTGAGAGATGAATCAATCACATTTTTTACAATGTTGTCTATCTCTTCATTATCATCTTCAGAATAAAGGACCATACCTGGAACATTAACTCGTGGGAATGGTCTTTTACCCTGTGCACCATGAGACACTGCAGTGCTAGTGAGCCTATATTTTTCCTTAGTGTCAGAAAGATTTCTCTGTGCAGATCGTCTGCTTTGTCGGACATTTGGTTTTACAGGCTCATGGTGGAGGTGAGTGAAGATCTCATCTAGTAGCTGAAGGAATACTACTGTCTGCTCAGATGCAAGAAGTCTCTCGTTATTAAGTTCAGTTTGAATATAACCTAATATAGTGCTGACTGCTTCCTCAATATAACCAAGCAAAGAGGACTGTGAAAAAATGGTTGACACTAAGCTTTGTATTTCTTCATTGGCAAGTAAGTTATCTGTGTCAACCTCAGGAATAGTCTTCTTTTGGTTAGCTCGCTGAAGGATGGTATATGATGGGTCTCTCGCCTGTTGCTGGTAGGAACGTTTAGTTTCATCTTCACTTTGCTTCAGTGATGCAAGGGTCATCAGCTTTTCTAAAATATCATGCACCATATCCTCTGCAATATGACACATAGGCTGCATAGCACAAGGCAGCGAGTCTTCTGAAGGCTTTCCATTGGATGATGTGAAGTATTCCCCAGTCCCTGTCAAACTTGATGTATTGTCTGTGGACAAGTCATCTTGGGAGAAAATCTCAACACACCTTTTCTCAACCGCTGACGCCAGCCTCTCAAACACATTTTCCACAATGTCTGAAGCTAATGAGCAGATATCGATGCTGGAGGCCAAGTCTTCCTTCTCGAGGTCGGATTGGTCAACAAAAACTTCAGCAGTAACAGAAGAAATTGAGGGAACGGCGTGTGTTAAGTCAGACATTATTTCCTGAAAAATGCTCTCCAAAATCAACTTAGTTTCCCCTTTCAAGTGACACTTAAAGTTAACAAAAATATTCTTTAAATTGTTCAACTCATCCATGGCTTTTGCTTTTTTATCACACAATAGATTTACTAAGCCTTCTGTTTCCGTGGTAGCATCCTTAGACTTCTTTGGGCCTCTTTGCAAAGATGCTAAAAGTTGACTATCAGATTTACAACTTCTGAGTTTGGGGTGGGAACGACTCAAGGCTGCCTTGTTATATTTGAGCTCAGAGGTTTTTGCTTCTCCTTTCTTCTGGGAGGTTTTACCCACAACTGCTCTTCCCACTTGGGCAGAAGGAGGTTTTACAGATGGGGTTGGTTTATTCGCGGACACATTAACTGCAAATGTACAAGTTTCTGCCTGAAGTGTTTTCGTGGTCGCAGTCGTGTAGCTCCCGTAGGGAAACTCTTCCCTGCACGTACTGCAAAAGCTTGAACTATCTGAAGAAAGGGTGGACTCATCAGCCACCGCGTAGGTATTACTCTGCAGCCTTTCTTCATACTTTGTGATGGCTGGGTATAATATACTTGTCACTGTAGCCACTACCCAGGTCATTATATTCTGAATTATGCCATTTAGCTCATCAGAAGTTACCTGGAAGGGAGACACAGATAAATACATCTATCTATCTATCTATCTATCTATCTATCTATCATCTATCTATCGTAATACTGTATATTTTCTGTACTGACAATAATATTTAACTTTTCTATGAAATAATGTATAACTGATAAAACATAAGTTATGAGGAAAACTTAGCAAAGCAATCTATTTACTACTTTAGATTTATTTTAAATGGGTTTATTTTGTAGTTCAGAGAAATACTTTGTGGATAGAAATTTTGCTCATTCATATTCTTTGAGAAGTTTTAGTTTTTTAAAAAATTTGCCTAGTCTACTGCTGAGATAAATGACTTTTCAATTTTTTTTTTTTGAGACAGGTTCTCACTATGTAGTTCAGGCTGGTTGTGAACTCATAGTAAGCCTCCTGCCTCAACCCCCACAAGTGCTGGGATTATGGGCATCACCACAGGCCTGGCCAATGATTTTTATTTTTTTCAAAAATGAACAAACAAGTAAACATCAAATTGCCACCTAGGCATATGTCAAGCAAACATCTTGGCAAAGGATGTGATTTTTCATATACCTGCTAATTTTTAAGGCACACCAAATTATTTCTAGCAGTTGTGTTCAAAATACTGTGTACTTTGAGAGGCATCTATCTTATCAGGGATCTTAAGGTGGGAAATAAGCTTGCCTCATCTGTATTCTCTGCTGCAGAGATGAGTCTGTGTTCTGTGTACGAGTAACACCTGACTGTGAAGAATTACTTGATAGGCAAAACAAACAACATAAATGTTTTGAAGAGATTCACTGGCTTTGCCAACAGGAGTATCAATCAGTGTAACCTGTTTGAGAGCAGAAAACTGAATAACCAATGATCATGTGAAGAAACAAATTAATGTAGTGGTCAGTGTGGCTGGGATAGATTTCTACAGGACTAGGAAGAGAATGTCCGTGTGGGAGTCCAAAACTCAGTGACATCACACGTACTCTGGGCTTACATGTGACACCTTATGTATAATAAATCAATGGTTGGTTTTTAAATTTTTGTAATTCTTAAAACATACGTACTTCAGGCACAAGTAGGGCAACAAAGTTAGAAGGCTAGCAAGTGAACATGACAGTACAATGCTATGCAAATGAGGACCTTCACACCTATGGCATTGCCTAAATTAGTGTGGAATCATTCAATTTTCAAGGTAAAATCAAAGGAAATTTCACTTTTACATGGAGCTTTTGTCCTTGTCTTTTTGAAAGTTTAGGGGTAGTGTCATAGGAAAAGCCATTTTATTCAGCTTTAATCCCTAAAATTCCTAATAGATTTTTTCATTAATCTTACTAATAGCGGCTAGTGGTTTGAAAATATTTTGGGATGACAGCTCACTTTGTAGAACACTCATCTTGCATTAATGTGTCATAAATTAGTTTTTCACAGTATATCCAAGATAAAACCTAAATTATAATAAAGAAGATAGATCCTTTGGTAGTGTCAGCCATCTGGAGGAGTCACATCCATTGCTTGGCCAATTTGCTCTCTGCGGAAGTCTGAGAGAATGTTTTCTCTCCAGGTTACCCTCCTTAGGCACACATTACATCATTGATCACTTTCCTCTGTGGCCCCATAATCTCCTTGATCAGAAAATTTGGGACATCACTGAGTTACAGGATGTTACATTACAGGTTCTCTTATGTCCTGAGTCCTCACTGACCTTGAAGGGCTAGGGCCAAAATGTTGGCTATCCTTGTAGCCCTTTTACTGGACTATATTGGATTATTTTGCTGAATTCACACACCTACAATATTTGAATGGCAATGGAATACCCATCTCTGATAAAAGTAAACAAAAAAGGGGGATATAAATGAAGGACCGTTTTGTAGTGGAAAAAAATATATATGTATTAACAAAATAGTTAGGATATATGTACAGCTACTTTCTCTTAGTTCAATGAGAAGAAAGATTTGTACTAATACTGTTTAGACAAGATATCATGTCTGCATCTTGTACTACGAATGACTACTACGAAGACAACAATATGCAATGTATTAATTACTGTAACTGTCCTACTAACCTGTTTTGAAACTGTCTCATTGCTATTTCTTTCTAAATAAAATTCATTTAAAAAGGAAGATAATGTTTCAAGTTTTGGATGTACTGAAGTGAAGCACATAGAATTATAATTTTTCAGTTTTTTTCCATTATGACATTAAATGCAGAAATTTCCCTTACATCAAAACTTTGTATTTATTGAACAGTCTATGAATTTAGTGGGTGTTCATATTAAATAGTGCATCAAAAACAGGGTTCTCCACAATGGTTCTTTTCTTTCCTGACTGGTCTAGCTAGACCCTTTCCTCCAGGGGCAATATCTTTCTTTTGATGGCAACTTTAGACCATGTCAAAATCTAAGATTAGTCATAAAATAGACATCAACAAGGATAAAGGACAAGAAAAGATGCCTTGCAAGTATCAATGAATGATTTCCAGTTGTCTAATTTACAACTTTTTTCTATTGTGACAGTATAAAAGTACAACTAACATGCTGCTTAATCAGTGAATTTTATAATACCCACTTTTGGTTGCACACAGTTTTGTAGAAGATCCTGTGGCCTGTAAAGAAAGTTTTATGATTTCATTATCAGCATGAAAAACTTCTGAAAAGCTTTCAAAATTTTAGTCATGTAATCAATTTCTTTTATGTCTGAAAATTTCTCTATAGAAATTCAAAAGGGAGACCGCCATTTTATTTCATCTCCTCACACAGGGACCTCTGGAGTCATGAATACCCGGTATTACCAATCAGGGGAGTAGAATTACAGCTGCTACATAAATGACTTAGCTCCCTGCTAGTGATGTCTGGGCTTTGTGGTTCTCCAGAGGAGGAGCCAGGTAGCCCCTTGTACTATCAGGTCCCATGGAGAAGAACAGCTTGGAAGGACTTTCTGGTAACCCTTCCCTTACTCTTTCAGATCCTACAGCCTCTCCATCTCCTCTCTCTCTACCTCCTCCAGTTGGAAAAGAGCACAAGAATGATTATTCCATAATTATGAGTTGAGATTATAGTTTTCTAGTTATATTCAATACAATTTAGATGTATCTCTTTTTGTCCCTTATAATGTTCTCTTACGTTCTAGTGAGATTTTTATCATGCAGTGATAAAATAGAACAGATCTCTGAATTATAGAAAATCAAAGACATCTGTCATAACATAATAGAGAAACAAAATCAAAAATATGCTCAAAGTCATAAGTTCAAGTTTTGATGTTTTCAAATATTTTTTGCCAACATGGGCCTTTAAAAATATACATATATTATTTTTTAAAGAATACAAAATAGCAATAAGAATGAGCCTTCTGATTGTCTTCTTTATTCTTTTTTTTCTTTATTCTTTCTTAATTTTTGTAGACCTGTAATTTTTTATTACTCTCTGCAAAATGAAAAAAAATTTAATTTTGAGACTAGACTGAATGTTGTATCTTAAATTTTAGCAGAAAGCATAAAGCTCAATGGTTGCAGTTCAGAAGTTTGGATTTGGAAGGAAAGCCTTCTGGGTCCAGTGCCGGTGGGAGGGGTCCTTGAACCTGGTTGCTTAAGATGAGCCTGGGCACACAGGGAGGTTGCATGTTCAAGAAAGACTTGGTGAGAGCGGCAGTCTGTCATCAACCTAGACCTTTTTGCAGCATGGAGAAAGGCATGAGAACTGATATCTCTTTTCTTTGTACTTATTTATTTCTGATACATTAGATAAACCCCAATTTCAACATGATTTCCATTGTACGTATTCTAAAATCCAACTTGAAATTTCACTTTTCTCTATTCTCCATGTATTGCATTGACCCAAAATGGGACCCATGGATCACTGACGCCTCAGAAATCAACAGCTATTCTGCACCAAAAGCATGCAGAAAGATGCAGCAAAGAGCAAAGTTCTATGAATAAAATCAACCAAGTATCTGAGGACATGCCACTGCAGGTTATTAAGTGCAACTGTTGCATTCAGAGGCCAGCTTCCTGTGTGCACGAGGTCCGGAGTTAGGTTTCCAGGAAGAACAATTCCAGTAATAGATATATGAAATCAGCAAACACACCCATGTAAAAAAACTGTATAAAACAATAGGTTCTGGTAAAAATGATCAAAATCATAATTCCAGAAATTAAGCATGAATTTATAATATTACAATGAGAATTTTCCAGAAGAGTGGTGAGACAGTGCGCTCTGCAATATTTTAAATCACTCTGTTTTCATCCCCCCTCTATACTCATGGCAATGTGATTCTGTTCATCTTGATCTCTGCCAAACATCTGACATTCTTCTTACATAAAGGATGCTCACTAAAGGTTTGAGAAACACAGTACAATTTTAAATCTTTTGAATGTGTACTTATCTCTAAGTCCAAATGAACCCTTTGTTCTGACAACTAGTGGCCTGCTAGGACTAGTTTCTAGTTTCCTGCCTTTCATTTTTCCTATGTATTGCTTTCAGAATTACTCCTTAGGTATGCTAATTTGTCCATAATATTTCTCTTCCAAACTATCAGACTATTAATACATAAGCTATAAGATTCTAGCCAGGCTAAAACAAACAAAATCACTGCCTTCTTCAATCTATTATGTATATCTTTCCTGAAAGATAAACAATATTACTCCTTATCCAAGTTCAATGTTTTATGATTGCAACTGTTTTTTCCCCCAGGGCTACCATATTTGCATTGCTTTCAGTCAACGGTCAAAAAATTTCATTCCTAATTCATATGTCTTGTGTCTGCCTATTGTATTAATATTTAAAAAATCAAGAACTAAGCACAGAGTGATGAGGACAAGAAGGAAGGAGGATGAAGACTGTGGTGCTCCTACTGAGAAGTCTTCAGAAGCCCAGAGCTAAGTCAGAACCGGACGTGTGAAACGAGTGTGGTGAGCAGAAAAGACCAGGCAGCTGTATAAGCTGGGCGGGGTTCCCAAGTGTCGTACGCCTGTGACTTCGGCAAGAGCTGTGAACAAGATTCAGCTCACTGAAGATTTTCATTTCGACTGAACATAGATATTTAATGTGACTCTTTGTTCTGAAACATTGAAGCCAATCTGTAGCTCTGGATTTTGGACAGGGAACAGGAGAAAGGAAAAATTAAGGCTTCACTCTGAGCCTTCCTTGACTCTTTACTTTTTTAAAAAAAGCAAGTATTTATATTTCCAGTAACTAAAATTATACTTGTTCAATACATAAAGTATCTGCATGCAGCCATCATTCTTCCTTCCTGCTATTTTGCTTTGAATTATACTCAGTTCCTTTCCTGCTGCATCTTACAGAAGGAACACATGCCTTGTGTTCTGGGAAAACTCAGTAAATTGTATGAGCTGATTCCCAGTAGTCTCAAGGTTAACTTTTCCAACCAAAAGTTGGTCTGAATGTCATTTTAAGTTAGTACCACAAATCTTTAATGTTTCCTAAATATTTAAAAAGAAATCTGGACCTTTAATGTCCTTGGTCTTCACTTAGCATTTAACTTTCTAAAATGTGATATAACTGGTTGTAAATGGTAAACTGTTGTCACTTCTCATGCTAAGAAAAAATAAATATAAATGTTACTAAGATAGGTGGTCACCAAAGTTTAAAGAATGAAAAGTTCTTGGGCTTAAAAATACCTCTTTCAAACATCTAAAACTCACATCACTGGAGATTATTATTTGGGTCACACTGGGTACACCTTCCTGGAGGGAGGTTATTGATTAAACCATTAATACTGTGTGCTAGACTATTTTTCCATCCTTGAGAAGCCAATAATCACAACAGGCATAAAAACAGGTAAATGGTTTTAAGAGAGAAAAACATTCAGGTCATGAAAAATATGCGGGGAAAAGGCATGAAAATCCTGAATATAGGTAGAAAGGAGAGACAGAAACAAAAAGGTGGAAAGACAAACCCTGACCTGACGTGCATATGGAACTCAGTTCAAAGTTTTCCAAATGAAGTTACACTAATTCCAAGTAGAATTTTAGAAAATCCCCTGTAACCATGGGCCTATGAACAGCACTTGTATGCAATTATAAAGAGAATAATTCATGCTTAGACATAAATTTTAAGATACTTACATATTTGAAACAATTGAAGAAGAAACAACAGCTGGGGCTGTAACATGAGTTTCAGATCCTATATAAGATGAGAAGAAAATTTCAATTGATGTGCATCTTTGATTGACCAATTGAGTCATGTTTATTTGGTAATTTGTTTCTCTTACAACATCCTCCAATAGGTGTTTACTGCCTTTTTTGACTGCCTTGGTTACAAGCTTTCAGGAATTCTCCAGAGTGAAATCTAAAGTGCTTAGGTAGGCTCAAAATATGTGGTAAGATTTGACATCCTTGTCTGTGTATTCAGTGTCTCCCTGGAAAGCCTTTCAAATGCATTCTGTGGATCAGGGACACAGAGTTATTTGAAATCGGCTTAATACACCATCCTTTCTACACTTTGGGGCAATCTTTTAGTTTATTGCCCTTGGAACCCTCTGTGTTCTCCTTTAATCATTTAGTTTTCACTAAGCTTGTGTTAACTCCTCTTGAAGGCTATTATTGAAAACTAACTAAATAAATATCCTTACAAGATTATCTAAATATGCTTATAAAACTCATTGTACCATCATGATATGCTTTGTCTTGTATATCTCCAGTGATGATATAATTTCACCACTCTATCTGCAGCACACAAGCTAGTAAGCCCTCTATAACATTTATTTGTTGAATATATGGTGCAAATGTTTCCTTAGCATTTAGGCTTGATTAGCCTACCATGTTTTGCTACTGAATTATTACCTAATTTGCTTTGTATAAAGTATATTGAAACTCTGTAAATGATTGTGATAAATTCATCTGGATTTAGACGATACAGGAAGTTTTATGCAAAGCATCTCTATTTTGGAATGGATTTTTTTTGGGGGGCTGGTATTGGGAATCGAACTCAAGACCTTATGCCTATCAGGTAGGTACTGTGCCACTCAGTTATATCCCCAGCCCTTTTGGAATGGATTTGAATGTTTAATACATGTTAATTATACAAATATATAAATAAATGGAAATATTAGGCAAATAAAATGTCCTGGAAATAGGTATGTTGGGTTAGAAATTAGAGTCATTTTAAAATCAAGTTAATTAGTATTTCATTTCTCTCAAAGGCTGTATCATCAATAAATACGAATAATGCATATGAAAGCCCTATGAACCATTTTGAGTTTTTTGTGCATATATATTTTGTGTATTTTTAGGTTTGGTGATAATGTAACTGATATTTTGAAAGCAGAGGCATCTAAGGGTGGAGCAAAAGCTATTCTAAAAAGAAATCAAAATATTTTGTGAATTCCTGCCAGAGAAGGAGATTCTGTCACTTGCAACCAAGTGGATAAACCTAGATGACACTGACCAGTGAAATAGGGTTTGCCAAAAGATGAATATTAGGACCAGAGGTATAGCTCAGCGGAATCAGCACTTGCTTAGGTAAGCGCAGAGGCCAGGGTTCGATCCCTGGCTCCTCTATGACACACTGGCCCTGCCCCTGGGCACACTGAGCCAGTGATAGAGTCCTGGTGGGGTGGCGTGTGCCTGTAATTCCAGTGCTAGGGAGGCAAAAATTGAGAGGGTAACTATGAGTCTGGGCTGTGTAGTAAGACCCTGCACAAATAAACCTAAATCAAACAAACAAACAAGCAAACTTGGGGCCAGAGAGATTGCTCAGTAGAATAAGTGGTTGCCTGGCAAGCTCAAGGTCCTAAGTTCAATCTCTGGTACTGAAAAAAAAAGATAAATATTGTATGATCTTACTTATATGTGGAAAATGTCGGCCTCAGAAAAAGAGGATAATGAAATGGGGTTATTGGGGTGTAGGAGAAGGCAGACATGGAGAGATGTTGATAAAGTGGAATAAAGTTTTATTTATGCAATTAGTAAGTGCTGGAGAATCAAGGTACAGAAAAAAGATAACTAAAAGTATAAGCTAATAGATTTCATGATATACTCATTATTTCTGATGTTTACCTAATTCCTCATGGTAGCTTGGTCTTGACTTGTATAATTTTCCACTTATCTCCTTCTACATAAACAAACAAATAAAAAGAACACAACCTGAAAGAACTGTTTCACCAGACTTGGAACAGCAGTTATCATTTCTAGATTTCAAATACAAAATTTAACACTTTAAATGTCTCTTAAATGTCAATTTAGGAGAAATAGGCACATTTTCATTGGGTTTACATTGTATTTGCTATTTAAAGAAGCCGCTAATTCATAGCTGTGTCAAAAAATGTCCACAAGACCATGTACACATCTGATGTTTTGCTGATGTGCTTGTACTCAGCACATCCTTGTACACACTCCTGAAGGCTTATTAGAATAAAAGGAAACACAGTAAGATAAGTAGAGGGGAAGGACAACAGGCTGAATCTGGGGAAATTCGCGCACAGATGTTGTGCTCTCTTGCCCTCTCCTGTAAGAATATGTTAGTATGTGTCTGCTTCTATTATTAAAAGCACAGTAGCACCTTTGCTGTGTTTCACCCCAAGAAAATCTTTTCTTTTGAGATTTTAAAGTAATAACTTTATTACATACACATCACACCACACCATAGAACACTCCATATGCAAAAATATAGCCAGTAGAATTTAAAACATAGTTCTTTTTGCTGTATTCCCAGAGCTCAGAGTTGTGCAATCATTGGTACAACCTAAATCTAAAGCATTAGCTACTGCAAAAGATATCTTATGTCTTTCAGCAGACAGGCCAATTGCTCTCTCCTTCTAGTTCTGGGCAGCCAATAATCCATTCTCCATCTGTGTAGATTTGTCTACTATGGACATTTCATAGAAACAGAAACATGTATTTCTGATTGTGCCAGCTTCCTTCACTTAACCTATTTGTAAGTTGCATTCATGTGGTTACATATATCAATATTTAATTCCATTTCATTGCAAAAAAATATTATATTGCATGGATATATTATGGTTTCTAATTGAATAATCAGTTGCAAACAGCTGTATTTTTCTACTTCTTGCTCAGTCTGAATAAAATGTGTCTATGAACATGCATATGCAGGTTTTTGTGTGAAAATATACTTTTAACTCCCAGAAAATCTGGAAGAAACTCAGCACTCAGCATTTCACTGAGTAGACACCTTCTGTTTTAGCATTTCCCAAAATTCCACACCCACTGAGGCAGGAAGGATCTACAGCGAGAATCAAAGTGCACAGTTCACAGTGAACACCTTTCCTACCAAAGAAAAGGAAAACTATTCACCAGTCACCTTCCCAGATACCAGACTGAGGTAAGCTCCTAAGAGGGCTCTTTGAAAGACAGCGGTCTTGAGGCTGCCGTGTTGTCACTTCTCTGCACAATAGCATGCAGTAACTATTGTGCAGAAATAGTTACCAACTATTTTGGTAACCCAAAATAGCTATCTGTGGAACACAGATTAGCCAAGAAGCTAATAAACGCAGTGGGAAGGAGCATAGGTTTGTTTTTGTTTTTAAAGAAAGCTACTATTTGAGGGAAGGTTGCAGTAGAGCTACATGGAAGAGAACATGTCCTCTTAATACACAACCATGTCACTCTGCTCTCTGCAAAGCAAATCCAGTATAATTAATTCCTTTTTAAAATTTTCTAGACCTCAGAGCTGAAAATAGAGCACTAGAAATATATTTTCTGGCAGTGGCAGGCTACGTGCAAGGTTGGACAAAGTGTGTTTTAGGATTTGTAATAAAATATTTACCTTGTTTCTCATAATAAAGTGCATATCCATAAACATCTGACACTGACTTGAGATTAAGATAGATGAGAAGTTAATGGCACATGTATCACCCAAAAAAGGATACCGAGTAAAATTTAGAGATAGTTTTAAAAGGAGTTTTTCTTCTTTTGTGAAATTCAAGACATAACCTTTGAAATGTGTTGGGCAAGATGACAGTTTTGATTGTCAATGTTAAGAAACTTCTTTCTTTTTGAAACTTATTAATGTGCATTTTAACATATCAGGGTAGTAAACTACGCCCAGGAAACTGTTGTCAAATGATCATTTATAAGGAAGTCATTAAACAGAGGCATATTATGATAGCCACACTGCATTTTAGGAGTTCTGCATAATTTAATCTGCCCATCATTGTGCAATACAGGACAGAGAAAATGCTGTCAATTTCTATGGTGAAAACTTTGCTGACTTACATCTTTAGGAAAATGTGATAACTCCTTAGCAGAGTGAACCAGGAAACATTAAGCTAAAAAGGGAACCCACAGAAAACATCTACTTCTTAAGCAAGGGCTGTGCCCCAAGCTTGTGGTGCTGGCTGTCTCATAGCACTGCATGATCTCTGGCCAAAAACTACTAGATCAGTAGTAGAATTGGAGCCAATATGTCAAGTTTGAGTTCTCTAAAAGCTACAGATCCATATTATGAAAGTGCTAAAGTTATTACAGTTCTATTATAATGTGACTAATTTCAAAGAATGCCACTGTCCTATATAGTGAAAGAATAACATTTTTCATAGCAATGGTGAACATAAGACCATTTCACACTTATTCTGCTTGTATTAGGAGCAAATCAAATTCTGTATACCTCTTCTTTTGGATCCACAAGTGAATGTGAAATTCTGGGAGTACTTTTTGTAGGTGAACCTTGAGCCGATATGTTCTTAGCTCCTCGAGAAAAAAAAGAGACACCTTTCACTACTGCTGGACAGGTAAGAGTTAATTTATAGCATTGCTCTAATATTCTCCCTGCTAGGTGCTGCAGTAACCAGCATTCCTACAATCAGGAACTTATTTTATTTTTTCCAAGAATAACATGACTTTGCTGATACTCATCCCCTGAAAGTACATCCACTCTTTACCGATGCCTTTAAAGACAAGTCGGAAACTCGTAACTTCTGACTCTAATTTATGTATTACAATAACTTAATCTGAAGAAACTAACCATAGTCCATTGTTCAAATTAACTTTGCATTTCGTCAGGAAGCAGCAAAGGACAACTCTTAACCTGTGTCAGGGGATAAATAATAAATTTTCACAGTAAAATATATGGCAGATTAAAGAGAAGGAAGTGATTGGCCAAAGGCTACTGCACTGGAGAGAACAGAGAAAATAAGAACAGCAGCATAAATAGAGAAAAGTAGATAGATTAAGGAGGTAAACAGAAGTGGCAACTTTTAGATATAAAAATAAAAGGAAAAATCAATCCTTTTCCTCCCGCATTCTGGTGTCTGCTGGTAATCTCAGCACTCTGGCAGGTTAATGTAAGATGATCGGCACATGTCTGAGCTCAGCCCGAACAACTTAGTGATTTAGCAAGAAGTTGAAGTTAAAGAATACAAAAACATGGGCCGGCCAGATAGCTCAGTGGGTTAAAGCACCCACTTACGCAGAAGGAAGTAGCCGGTTTGATACCCATTGTGCTGTGCCGGCTCCGCCCCTGGGGTGCCCTAAGACAATATTGAGACAGGGCATTGTGGTGAGTGCCTGTAATACCAGCACTTGGGAGGCTGAAAACAGTTAGATCACTATGAGTCCTATCTATGTAGTGAGACACTATAGGCCCTGTAGATACTGTACTAAATACATTAAAGAACAAAAGAATACAAAACTATTGAAGATGCAGCACCTTGTGAAGTCCCTGGGTTCAATCTGTGGTACCACAAAGCAAAACCAAAACAAAATAGAAAAACAAATCTCAAGTTTTATGCCCAGAGATTTGCAGTCAAATGAAGAGCTTTGTGCAGCTGCAGGAAGATGGTAGAGCTAGCGACTACTGAGTTGGAGGCAGACCTGCACAGCGGTGTCTACTACTTCTTACTCATGTGTCAGACACTCATGACTGGGCTTTCAGTGACTTAAAGAACTGGAACAACTTGCCAAATGGTAGATGGAGCACATCTTAAAGAACCATGGGAATGGGGCATATTGTTTGTGGGAAATGGATGGAAATGAACTTAGGGGTGCTTCTGAGAGCATTGCTTTATATTCCAGCTTTTCTGCCCACAGCATGTAAAAGCCCTCAGCTACTACTACACACAGCCTCCATGGGACTGTGCCTTTTCTGTACTGCACAAAGTACAAAAGCTATGTTTGCCCAGCAATAACTTAGATACATGGTCTAGTTATAATAGCTCTACTTGTTAATAATTATATAATGCCCTTTAGCTTTCAAAATAAATGTACTTTCTATGACCAAGGAAAACAAGTTTAAAAACTATGTGGTTAATCCATGGTAATGTATTTAATAACAGAAAAATCACGAAGATTATCCATTTTCTTACCTTTCTCATCAACACTTGATCTTTTCGTTGTCACTCCATCTTTCTAAATGGAAAGGAGAAAAAACATGCATGTCGATTTGTGTTTCTGAAAAAGATTTTGCCTTCTATCAGTCAAACAAATGAATCCAGACTTTTTCTACTCTCTATGTTTCTACTATTTGATCAGTGTTGTCAGGTCAAATATATATAATATTGGCTTCCCAGGATACCTTGCATGAGATCCTAAATTTATTTTAAAATGGAGCTCAATATGTGGCAATGTACACATTTTCTAATATTGTATTTTTACTTAAGTGAATGTGAATAGATTTTCCTAAAAGTCATTCAGTTTGTCTCAGAGAAATCCAACTCCATTTTTATGTGCCTTAAGAAACCAAGGTAATGTTTCTTTGAAACCCATGACTTGAGCTAAACATGGTTTGAATTAAATTACAATTTCTCATTCCAGACTTATTTTATTGTAATAACATTTTCAGGTGTCTTTTGTTTCAGTGGTGAATAGGTCCCTTGACAGTGTTTGCATCATTCACGTCGTATTCTGTGTGACCCAGTTGCCTTATTTACTTTTTGGCTTAGTCCAGTGTCTATTAATAGTAGCTTAATAAATCCTAGCTAAGAGTATTATCACAGTTGCAAAATATTTGTTTGGGTTAATTTCTGCTAAATTGAATAGTATATTTTGCCAGGCAGGCACCTATACTGCTGAGCTACGTCCCCAGCCCATGAATAGTATATTTTAAACATATTAATTTTTTTTTTTACTTTCCTGGGGAGCAGGATCTATTCATGTGAACAGAACTTTTCAAATAGGAGCCATGTAGAAAGGAGACAAGTCTTAGAAGTAGAAAGAGTAAGAAGGAGAGCATAACAGAAAACTCAATAAGCACTGTGCAAAATTTTGAAATATAAATCTTTACCTTTTGTTCTGTACTAATTTCTTGTACACAAGACTGATCAACACCAGAAGTTATTTTTTTGTTAACATTCTTTGAACTACTTTGATACGGAAAAATAGTATTTGTTGCAGGTTCTGAAAGGGAATGGAAGCAAAATCTTGTCATGTTTCAAACATCTATTGCTGTGTAGTAAATTTTCCTTATTTAAATTATTTCATCAATTTTGAATTATGTAACAAAACTCTGTGAAGACATCAGTATGAACCAGGTAACATTTCAATATCCATTAGTATTTCTCATCCCTCTTTGTACGTCATCCACCTCTCCATTCCATGCCCTGAGAATACTGATGTGTACCTCTCACTCAAGAAGTCTGCACTTTCTAGAATTTTATGTGAATGGAACCATATAGCATGCACTATTATTCTCTATCATTTTTTCTCTGCCTTCTTTCAGTCAATATACTGCATACTTCAGTAGTTTTTCTTTTAATTGTGCAAAGATGTCACTTTTTAAAAATCTACTTACCAATGACTTGGAACTATCAATAGGCTGAAAAAATAACATAAATCAGCAGAACCCCCTACATGTAATAACTAAGAGAAATAATCAAGGGACATAATTAAAATCTAGGGCAATAAATTTGAAAACAGATTTTCACAAGGTAAATTCCTTGAAAAACTGAGACTACCAAAACTTTCTCATGAATAGATAATTTGAAAATTCCTGTACCTATTAAAGAAATTCAGTATGCCATTGTAAGCCTTTCCACATCAAGGCTCCAATCTCAAGTGACTTCATTCATTGTATAAAATATCTAAGGTAGAAACTCCTCTAATTCCACAGAATTTTCTCTTTCAGAAAATTGAAGAAGTGTGAATGGTTCCCAACTCATACTGTGAGAGCAGGATTATTTGGATCCACAATATCATTTACCTAATATTACTAGAAAACTAACTGTCATGCAATTTCCCCATGAGGAAACAGGAAAATATCAACAAAAAATCAAATTGCAAAATGTATAATAAAGAAAATGCATGAGGAACAAGTGGAATTTATCCTACCACATAATCACTATTCAAAATCAAATTACCAAATTACACACACAAAAGAATTTCATGTGATTGTTTCCAAGATATAGAAAAAAACAATGAATATCAGTACCTATTCATTTTAAAACCACTCATTGAACTGGTTATAGAAAATGTCAGACATTTGTTAAATTGTATCTTCAAGTACTTATAGCCTATATTCTTACTACTAATAAAGACTTTTTCTAAAGCTTTGGAACAACATTAAGATGCATCCAACCACCATTTCTGTTATGCATTCTACTAGAAGTCCTACTTAGACAGAAAAAAAAAATAAAATTAGTGCTAAACGAAACTCTGTGGGCTATTTTTTAGAAATTGAAATGTTGCTTCTAAATTCTTTTTAGGAAATTGAAAGGCTCTAGAATAACCAAGTCATCCTAGAAAAACAAACACTGGATAAGTCAAGCTCCTAGATATTAAGACTTATTATGAAACTATCATAATAAAAACGCTACAAAATGCATAAAATAAATACAAAGGAAAATATCGTATAGAAATAAACCAGCTTACCTACTTTATTTCTTCAAATTTGCCAACACACTTAATGGAATTGAACCACTTGAATGTATACTAGAGAACTTTGGATCATCCTGTCTTTCCAGATAGCAAAAAAACTATCAAAGCTCATGGGAGTTGTATTAGGATGCTGGAGTTATTGATAAGGGAAAATCTATTTACCAGAGCTGGCACAAGTTCAACATTAATAAGAACAGTAACAGCACTATTTCACTGTTAAATACCATGAATCCACGAACCTAAACTGCTTGATGTATTGCAGCACATTGAATTTATTTAAATGTGTGAAATCCTAATAACACTAAACAAAACAGCACATTATGTAGAAAGCCTCTGGGATAATTCATTATTCTGAAAATTGATGCATGATAGTAGAATAGTTAGCTGTTAGTCTGCTTTTCCAAAATGTTCTCTACCATAGTATAAGAGCAAACCACAGCTACAGAAAGGGAGGAACTTTTCTCCGAAAGTATTGTAGATAATCAGTTAAGAAAAAATAATCAAATAAAATATTCTAACTTTGTTGTCCATAAACTTATCCATGGGAGTGAGCCTTGAATGTAAAATCATAGAGAAAACCAGGCATAAGATACTTCTGATGGAAAGGCATCGTGACTATAAGGCACAGGCTTGCAAAAACATTCAGCAGGAATACCTACAAATCTAATGGGCATGTTATAGAACATAGGAAATAATGTGCAGAAAGCAGTTATTCAGGTGAAAGCAACAAAAGGGCAAATAAAGAACTCAACAGGATGATCAACCAAATTTTTCCTACAAAAATGAAATTAAAAAAGGAAAAAGACAAAAGAGAAAGAGAAAGCCATGCATGGGAGAACTTATAGATTAAAAGATACTGAAAAATATTAACCCATTAATAAACTGATCAATGTGTGTTCAAATATCAAAATATTTGGTCATGTATGACACTCCTGAAATTTCAAATAGTGTAAATATTTGTTCATATTATGAAACTATTAATTATTGTATAAAATGAGAATGATATTGTAGTTATGTGCTTTTCAAAGAATTCTTATAATTTATAGTTATATTTTGACTTATTGATGGATGAAGTGAAATATGTGTGTAATGAACTTCAAAACAATAGGACATCAGATGGAGGTTGAAAGCATAGATCAAAGAAAGTGATGAGTGAGCTAAAACTGGACTAAGGACCAGTGAGATAGCTCAGTGGACAAAGTGGCTGCTTTGGCAAGCACAGGTTTCAATTTCTGGTCCCACAGGCTGCGCCCGTCCCACCCCTAGGTCAAGCTGAGCGAAGTCAGGGTGTGGTAGCACAGGCCGATAGTCCCAGCACTGGGAAGGTTGAAAACAGAAGGATGAGTTTGAGTCCAAGATGTGTAGTGAGACCCTGTACCAATACATAAAAAGAAAAAAGCAAGCAAGCAAACAAACAACAACAAACTGGACTGAAAGCACAGAATGCTTTACCAGGCTCTTCTGATTTTATTGTTTGTTTGTTTTGGTTTATATTTGAAATGTTTGTTTAAAAAGCATAAAATATCACTAAAAGTATGGAAATATTTACCACAAATAAAAGATTAACATCTTTATCACTTTAAGAAGAGCTCATCCAAATTAACCTCAAATGAAAATTAACAGATATATAACTTATGAAGAAAAAAGTGTCAGGACTGGGGAGATAGCTCAGTGGCAGAAGTACTTGCCTGGCAAGTGCAAGGCCCTGAGTTCAATCCCTGTAACCAAAAAAATAAAAAAATAAAAGAAATGAAAATGAAAAGAAAAATGTTAAAAGTCATTGCATTAATGTAAGAACTTCTCTATATCCAAATATAGACTAGAAATGAATTATAAATTATAAGAGGAAATTTTCTATGTCAGGCCAGGGATATGCCTTAGTAGAATAAGCACTTGCCTGGCAAGCACAAAGGCCTGAGTTCAATCCCCTGTTCCGCAAAGAAAAAAAAAATTCTGTCATGTATAGGCGTATAAAGGGGTGGTGTCTAATGTGACTAAAAAGTCTTTAAGTCCATAAAAACTACCCAGATCAAAACTAAGCAAGAGATAAGAAATGGTAATTTCTAAGAAGAGTAGACATAATTCAGAATCCCTAAAGGAGCATTAGATCGGTTTATAATGCAATTTATGTACATAGAAATGTGCAGTGGATCAAAATGCCAAATTCTTCCACCTACAAAAACTGAATGCAGAAATTGTAATAAGTTCTTGGCCGGCCAAATAGCTCAGCAGATTCAAGCACCTACAAGTAGGTGCAGGGGCCGGCAGTTTGATCTCTGGGCCTGCTGTGACAGCCCCCAGGGGAACGCTGAAAAGGCAATTGAGACTGTTTGTGGTGGTGGGCGCCTTCAATCCCAGCTCTTGGGAGGCTATAAACAGGCGGTTCACTATCAGTTTGAACTAGCAGTGAGATGCTGAACACCCTGTAGACCCTTCCCTAAACACACACACACACACACACACACACACACACACACACACACACACACAAAGAAATAGTAAGTTCTTATAATGGTTCATAACTACCATGAAATGAATAGAAATTTCAAGTGGTGGGCTGCAGAGATAGCTCAGTGGTCTAAGTGCCTGCCTAGGGAAACGCAAGGACCCAGGTTCTATCTCTGGTACTGCATCCTGTGCATGCCCCACCCTGATCAGGCCCTGAGAAGGTCTTGAGGATTGGGCATGGAGGCGAATCCCTGTAATCCCAGCACTGAGGAGGCTGAAGCTGTGTAGTGAAACCCTGTATGAAATGCATAACATTAAAAAAAAAATCTTCAAGTCTATTAATCTCAAGCAGCACATGGGAACTATATTGGAAACAGTGCTGAGTGTAAAAAGCAAGTCACAGAGGATGGATTACAATATCGGATGAGTCTTAAAATATTTTAATAATAGCATTTATGTCCATTGGCATATATATTTATATAATAATTAAAGGACCCATATGTTTTTAAAATATTTATGATAATCACTAGAATTATGTAGTGGTTATCTCTGTTTCTGAGGAGGTTGGCTTCAGGGAAAGGTTTTTAAAATAAAAGTTATCAATCTACAATTTAAAGATTTATGGTGAAGCTTAATGGAGAGGAGAAAGAAACAATGAAGTTCACACCTAGGCACGGCAGAAACTGCTGAAAATTAACCCCACCCTTAAAATTGAAAATAACTGGAAAAATGGTACCATTCTTATTGAGCAAACATAAAATATTGCATCAACCTCATCAGAATCATGGAGAACACAAGGAAATGAAATAACATCCACAAAGGATCTAAAATTAAAATAACTGTCCATTTCTAAGTCTATCAATGAAAAACAAAAATAAAAGCAATCGCAAAATAAAGAAAAGTAAGGAGATTCCATGCCAGAAAGCCTCTTTCAAAAGAGATGCTAGAGGCAATTTTAAAGGCTAAAAGAAGGTCATAATAGAAAGATGCCTGGAATCCCAGGAACTAAGAAGAAACCAAAATGGCAATTATTGTAATAAATGTAACAAACTAGCCTTCACCTATTCAGTTTTTAAAATATGTATTTGATGATCTGAAATAGAGTGAATCACCTTGTCTGATTAGAAGTTCAATGCGTATCAATATAGTACATAACACAACTAGAACATAAATGGGAAAGGAGCAATGGGAAATACCTAGCAGTGAGGTGACTACATTCTACTTAAAATAGTGAAGTTCTTTCTCAGAGTTGATTCTTTAGAACTAATTAATAGTGCAGTCTAGAAAAATTACTGTTGAAAACTATCCACAGAGAAGAAATGCAATGACGGGACACTGCATAACACACTTTAAACCTTATGATAATATCGAAAATGAAGTACTTAGTGACATGTAGGCACTTTGAATGCCCAATGCAGACACACCAAAATCCGTTCAGGATTGATATGCTGAATACCACAAACTTACAGAATAAATCAAGGGTGGCCTAATAAAAAAGTATTCCTTGTTATCACTGGAAGACTTTGTCTAATAAAGCGGCCATTTCTCCTTAAACTTATTTATCCAAGCACATTTAAGTAAGACCATCATTACTCAGGCTGCCCCAAATTCCTATTCGTATTATCTCATGATTTTTGCCCCATTATGAATTACCTTTTTGTGCTTTGTGGTCCACAGAATATAGTAGTTTGATATCATCCTGGTTTTTCTTTTTCTTCTTTGCAGAAACTTAAAGAAATGAAATAAAACATTTATATTTTCCATAACTGCTCAGGAGGAGGACAGCCTCTTGCTGACCTGTATGTGAAATTGTGGGACATGCTGTAGATGGAGGGAGATGGAATAAAGACAAAGAACCGCTAGCATGGAGCGGGCAGAGAAGGTTATGGCTCTAGTCCCTTCCTTTTAGGCGTTCTTCATATCTTTGGTCTTTAGTCCTTCCTTTTTCCTTTTCACTGTATCCTTCCATCCCTCCTTTTCTTGATTCTATTTTGACTTATTGGAAAGAGGGAAGAATACCATGTTGATATGTAATAGCAACTTAATTTTACAAGTTTCATCATTTCAGTAGTAAAAACAACATTATTTTGAGTATAGAGATGTTTGAGCGTAACAAGCTGTAGAGGAGGACAACTTGTCCTTTAAGCCACTTGACAGGATGGTTGGTGCTTGTTATAGGTTTTACACACGCGCCTCCTTTTCAATTTGAACTTTAAGTGAAGAGATGATGGCCTGCCTCAAAGTGCTTGCAAGGATAAGCGCACAGAATAAATGGTGCAGAAGGATTTTTACATACCTAAGCATTTCCTATTTAGCTACATCATTTTTTAAATTGTTCTCACTTTCAAAATCTGCTCCATCTTGTCCACCAGACTCAAATGCATTTTTATCCACATCTTCTTTAAAGCCAGTTTCTTGCATCTTCTGCAAATGATAAGCCATTTTTCTCTCTAGCAGGGCTTGTTTCTAAAATATTAAAGATTACTCTTGATTAATATCAATTTTCCATTTGTAAGTGTAAAATAAATACTTAAAATATGATGCTATACTGAAAATCAACAATCATTCTTTTCTTGTAACTTGTGAGTTCACACAAATTCCAAAAATCAGAGAGTGGTAAGTGCTGAATTTCTATATGTGGTCAAACACAAAACTACCTTTTGTAATTTTTTTTTCTGAGACAAGTTCTGCTACATGATCCGGGCATGCCTCCAGCTCCCATGTCACCTCAGTCTCCTGAGTGCTGAGATTATAGGCTGAGCCACCATGCCTGGTAGATGAGAAGAGTGAGTTTAACATTTAGATGCAATTTAATCACTGAGAATTGTTGAGGCCCTTATAGTTTCTAATTAGAGAGGGTCTCTTGTCCATAGTGTCCTGTTAACTAAAGTAATTTCCCCGTCATCTTTAACCAAAATGCTGTGAAAGCTTAACCAAAAGTCAGTTAGACCTCCACAGGTAAGCACAGTGCCTACAGTGTGGCCTTCCTTCGGGAATCTCTGTGTTCTCTCTGAACAGGGAGGCAACTAAAAGAGAAATTTTATTAAGATACTCAGACAGGGTGTGGAGTACTCAACAAGAAAATCACTCAGCATGTATGTGTAAGGAAACAAGATTTTTCAAGTAAAGAATCAGCAAACACCATTTGGCATTTACTTAAAGGTAGAATTCCTGTCTATTCTCCTGATTTGTGCTGGATTTAAGGCTTCAGATAGTTCTTTTTTATTTTTATTTATTTGAGAGAGAGAGAGAGAGAGAGAGAGAGAGAGAGAGAGACAGAGAGAGAGAGAGAGTGGGGTGTGTGTGTGTGGCCAGCTCAGCCCACCAGGGGGCGGGGCTGGCTGGCATGTGGTGCTGGGGGATTGAACCGCGGTCCCTGATGCCTTGCCAAGCTTGTTCCAAGTAGGTGCCTTAGACCACTGAGCCATCTCTCCAGCCCTTCAGATAGTTCTTATATCAATTGTAAGGTATAAAAAGTACCAGATCAAATATAACTCTGACTCTACTTAAAAAATATTCAAAACTGTTTTTATTTCAAATAAATCACATTTATCCCTGGTAAAGGATAAAAATTATTCATAGGAATACAAAAATATCTAACACAAAAATATAATTATAATATCTGGCACACAAAAAAATACCAGGCATGTAGAGAAGTAGGGAAGAATGACCCAAAAAGAAAGAATTACATTTATCATATAGAACCTAAAAGAAACACAAATACTATAAGGAACATAAATATGGTATATATAACTCTGTCTTACAGGTTTATAAATTTAATAAAAAGTGTAGTAGATACTAAAAGAACTAAAATGAATTTTAGCATAATTAGAAGCAAAAAAATAAGAGAAGATACTACAAAGGAGAATAATATAAATGTAGCAACAAAGTTAAAAGGAAAAAAATGCGCACTTTCAGAGAGATGTGAAACAACTTCAAGTAGCCTAATACCTGAAGAGAGGAGAGAAAATATAAAAGAATAATTAACTAAAATATTCCAAAGTTGTTGAGAATCATAAATTCACAGCTTCAGGACTCCTAAATACCAAAGAACAGAGAAAAATGCCACAGTTATATTGTAATCAACTTTCTTAAAATCACCAATAAAGAAAAAAATCAAAATTGAAGAAACGGGGACATATGTTACAGAGAGGAGAAAAGTTAAAGACTGAAGATTTCTTTCTTTCTCTTTCTTTTTTTTTTTTTT